CGGAGTTGAAAAGGCCCTCCTTCATAAAAGTTAAATAAACTGTCAGGGGCGAGTATGGGTTTACAAAACACTTTATTTTACTTTTACACTGAGTTACTTAAAACCCCCACCCCGACCCCATAATCTATCTGCCTTGATTCCTTCTTCATCAACTGCCTATACATTCCAGCATACTCAGAGCTGCAAAGAACTCTGCTGATTTGCCAGGGCGATAACGGACTCAAAGTTAAAAAAGGAAAAAAAAAAAGAAAGAAAAAGAAAAAAATACAAATAAGTATCCTTTAAAGAGAGTACTTATTTTTTTAAATAGCACTCTCCTCTTAATTATAATATAGCATTAGGGCCCCCATTCTTCCTCTGAACTTTCATAATGATACTATCAAACAGTAACAAATACAAATTTGTGCAGTCTGAAATATGCAATTTAATCATAAGCAGTAATTTCCATATCACTGAAGTTGAAAAAAAGAGATGTCAAATGATTAAACTCCAGTGCTCGAGGACCAATCTTGAATTAAATTTTACTCTCTGCTAAAGCTAGGTTATGCACAACACAAGGCTGGTTTCAAGGTAATAAGTAAACCGTTTTCTGTCATATTAAAACTCCACGCCCTACCTGTTTACCAAAGCTCAAACTGCTATCTTGTATTCTCTTTTTGCAAATTAGAACCGTCATCAAATCCTCTGGAAAGAACAGGCAGAGAGATACCACAGCAGTCTCGCTAATACGTCTTCCCTTTATTCATTCCCTTTCCCTGGGAGTCTGAAACGATGCGCTTTCTGCCAGAAAAATCCTCCCAGATCGCTGCCTCGGGAAGAGCTGATGGTGTTTATCACACATCCCAGCCCCCGCCCCCCATCTCCTACTCCCCAAAGCCCGGGTTCCAAGATTTTCTAACTTTCGAGTAAACTCCAAGGTGGGCAGAAGAGACTCAAGGTAACGTGAGCCACGGACTAGAGAGATGTTAATCCTGACAAACTGCTGGAGCAGTAGCCTGAACCACAGCTAGATTGAATTCAGTCTCTCCGGAGAGGGCCAGACAAGGCTGGTGGTAACAAAACCGCTTTTCATGGTGCCCTCAAAAGCAGATGGGCCCCATGCAGAAAGTTGGAGAAGGACGCTATTGCCCTCTAGTGGTCAGAAGTGCAATCTTCCGCTGAGGAGTCCATTTCCAGAGCCGCACAAGGCTCTCAATGTCAGGGTAAAATTATAGCAGAAAGATGTCTAATTATTCTCCTCAAGTGTTTTCTTTAGTCCTTTCAGCCCCAAAGGGAAACCGTGGAGAGAGATCACAGGAATCTTCGTGGAGAAGCTGGTGGTTTCTACTAGCAAATTTGCCTGACTTCCTCCAGTTTTAGCTTTTTTTGTTTTTTCCTTTCCACCAGACCTGTTGATGTTTGCTCTGTCAGCCAGTTAAAATCACACTTTTACATAGACCAAAGATCGTTACATATTCCAGAGCCAACGCCTGTGGAGTGGAAAGGCTGATAACACACAATGTTGCCTAAAACCAGGGGGGGGGGTTGTTAAATTAGGCAACTTTTTAATGGATTTAGAGACGGTTTCATAAGGGAGGGGAGGTGTGTGTTGCAAATGCATTTTAATCCCTTACATATCATTGAGGGTTGAATTTGCAGGGTCCTGTGAATGTTCCAGTGGGGGAAGGTTTTCTACTTATATTTCTACCTATAGACCACTTTAACAAATCATTACGAGTATACCTAGGGCCAAAGTAAAAAAAAAAATCAGTATTGAAAAATAGATATAAATGCAATGACTATGCTTCCTGAACATCTGCCTATGCCCGTGTATAGGAAATGAAGGCAGACTAAAACCAGATTTTCAGATCGCATCGAGAGGGTTCTGGAAATAGATTTGAATATTGCAGATCCATGTTTATGTGAACTGTCAACTGCATAAGTCACAGACATTCACAGGCAAAGTTCTTAGATACACGGTGCTCAGGGGAGTGGAGCTTTTGAATTGTAAATGGAGCCTGGTGGCCAAAGTTGAGGCATTTCCCATACAAGAGTCCCCAAACCAGAATCTTTACAAAGCAGCCATGTAATTCTATTCAGAGAGGAAGAAAAACCATGAATTATGAGGACAAGTGCATTAAAGGAGCATGAAATTGATCTGTATTCCCCCAAATCATAGCATGCTCTCCAATGCTTGTCCCCCCTTCTGTGCACAAATAAACTAACAATTAGTCATCACCACCACTGCAAAGAGGGAGCATGAGTTCTGGGTCATAGAAAAAGAAAGAGTTATAACTTTTTTTTTAATTCTCAAATTAACTAAAGATTGCATCTTTATTGAAAATAGAATTTAGGTTTCTAGTCATTTTATTCTCTGGTGCTCTGATAAGAATGCCGAAATAATGGAAGTTCCAAAGTGCTATCAAGATGGTCCTCTGCTTCAATTAGGATTCTTTTTAAAGCCTATTTTTCTAGTGAGCACTAAAGTCCAGTCTGAGTAAATCTGCATGTCTGGGCCTTCATAGACGATTCTATCTCAAATCTTTTAAGACCTCTCTTCATCCCCCCCCCCCACCTCACCCCTTTCCTCGGGAGTGGGAAGGGCCTATTCCTTTCTTTTTTCTAAGAATGTAATAGTGTGACCATCTTGCGCAGACTCAAGGGAAAATGACGGTCTTAATAAAGATTCAGTCACAGAGCGTAGCTTGATACAGATTTCATGTATTATTTTGCTATCTTTCAAAAGGAAGAGGTAAAGCTAATTCTCACGCAAGTCAAGTTCCCAGGGCTCTCGGAGCCATTCCCTGGATTATACTGAACAACACTCACTGCCTTTGTCCAAGGCAGAATTTCAGTGGTGTCCAGAGCTGAAAATTCTAGGGCCCGATAGCCTGGCCCACTCCAACATCTGCAATCAAAGCTTTCCATGAACACACTTTGGGGACCAGCAGTCTCTGGGGTCCCTCTGGAATTGGTCACAGTTGTGTCCCTTGGTTTTGCAACTTTAATTCTTTTGTTCCACTGATAGGAGGCTCCCACAGCTGGAGTTTGGTAGGGGTTACTTTGGGGTTCTGGTGTCAGGCTTCTGTCTGCAGTGTGTGTGAGGAGGGTTTGGGTGTGTGTGTGGGGGGGGGGGAATACCAGGATTAATGAAAGCAAGGCCAGCCCCTTCTCTTCTCTCCACTGCCTTAGGCTCCCCAGGAGTCCAGCCTGGCCAATGCAATGTGTTGACGGGTTGCTGGCCAGTGGAGTCTCTGGCTCTGACCAAATCTCCATCCCCTCGCCCAAAGAAAGCCAGACACCTCACAAAACCAGCCACGTCTGTCGCAAGTACAAGTGATCAAGGAATGAATCCCTTCTCTTTGCCCGGATTAATGATCATGGCTTTCCTGCAATTAAACCGAAAACTTATCCACTGCCTCCCATTCCTCCAAGAGGAAGGCCCGGAGGGGAAAGAAACTAGGAGAGGTTTCTGCGAGGTTCGGAACAAGATTTCTGCAGGGTTAAACGGGCAAGGGGACTTCAGCGGGATCTCTACCCACACGAAGCCGGGATGGGGGGAGCCAACCTTCAGACCCGGCTCCTCCTGAGGGACGGACGACTCGCCGCCAGTCAGGGATGACATTATTAAATAATTAAAAGATGCGATTTCTTAATAGCGGCGCGATGGCCCGTGAAATTCTTGCTGCATTATCAGCAAAAGCAACAGGGTTTCTGGGGTGTGTGTGTGTGTGTGTGTGTGTGTGTGTGTGTGTGTGTGTGTTGTGTGTGTGTTCTCTCCTAGCATCTATAAAACCTTTCGCTCGGGAAGGGGCAGGCATGAGAAACCCCCCCCCCCCCCCCACACACACACACAATCGCCCACCAGCACCACCGGAGAAGGGGCGGCGGTTAGCAGAGCTTGGTCCAGCAAGGGTTGAGGACACGCGCCCCGGGGGGGGCCCCACCCCAGAGGAGGTGGCTCTGGGGACTCACCGCGCCAAGCGGACGCCCTGACCGCTCCGCTCCGGTGGAGGGGCCAGGGGTGCCCTCCTCCCCGCCGCCCTCCCCATCCAGCCGCGGCTCTGCGCTCCCCAACCCGGCCGAGCAGAGGGCAGGCGACGGCGCGCGCGGAGAGCCGAGGAGGCTGGGCGCGCTCGGGGAAACGGCCGGCAAAGTTACCGCGCAGCCCGGCCGGCTGCGCCCGCGTCCTGGCCCCGCGCCGGGCCATCCACCGGCCGGCGGGAGCTGCCCCGCGGGGTCCCGGAGCTCCCGCAGGGACTCCGACAGGAGCGCGCGCCGCAGCCGCCCGCCCGGGAGCCGCAGTCCGCTGCCAAGCCGCGGGCAAGGCCACGCCGGCCAAGTGCGGGGGCGATCGCCGAGCGGACCCCGGGACTGACCGCACGTTTCCCCGGGTCTCCCCGGGCGGGCGCGAGGCCGGGGACCCGGAGCCCCGGGCAGTGATCGGCGGGGGATCGGGGGAGCAGGGGTAGGAATCCCGCAGAGCACCGTCACGTCGTCGCTCGCGGGGGGGAAAGGAGGCGCAGTGAGCGGGGGTCACTTTTCCACCCGCCCACCCCCGAGAGAGAGAAAGAGAGAGCGTCGGCCGGGGGTCGGTGGCGATAAGGGAGCGCGGCTCCAGCCACGTCGCGGTCCCGGCCGGGCGCAGAGCCCCTCGCCCGCGGCCTGGGCGCGCGCCCCGGGGAGGCCGGAGCCGGGGAGCGCGGGGGAGCGCACATCTGGCGCCTCTGCCCCAGCGGGGCCGGCGCCCACAGCTGGCTCCCCGCGCCCCTCGGGATTTTTGAAACAAATCTTCTCTTACCTCCGCCCTCCCCCACACGGCTTCTGCTGTGCACGAGTGAAAACCTTTCCGAGTCAGATCTCCTGCCGTACTCCCACGCACCCCAACATTCTCATCCAGAGATGCGACCCCCCCCCCAGAGCTCCCCCCGCCCAAAATAACAAAATAAAATAAAATAAAACAGAATAAAATAAAAGAAGCTCCGTGCAGACGAGGAGCCGGGACTTGGCGACGCGCTCACCTGGGGCCCTGGAGGGTGGCGCGGGCTCCCAGCCGTCGGTCCCTGCAGCTGGGCGAGCGCGGCGGCGGTGGCAACCCCGGCCCCAGCCCGGGTCCCATTCACAAGTCGGCGGCGGCTGCGAGCGGCCCCCGCGGCATCTGCTCGCGACGCTCCCCTCGGCTGGCGGCGGCCGCGGAATGAGCCGCCGAGCGCGCTAGTGGCAGGAATGAGAAACGGGGGGGAGGTGGCGGGCGGGCGGGGTGCGGGGGGAGGAGGGAGGCCGCCGCCGGGAGGGAGGAGAGGGCGGGGGGGGGGGGGCGGAGGGGAGCCGCGGCTGCCAGACGCGCAGAGCCCGGCCCCGCGGAGGCTGCGGGGGGCGACCCCGTCCGCGCCCGTGTCCCGGGGGACCCCGAGATGCTCTCCCCCAGGGTTTCGCGGCCGCCGCTCGCGCCCCGGGTCGCTGCCCTCGGGCTCCCTGGGGGCGTCGACCGAGTCCGGCGCGACTCAAGTTGGGCTCCCGGGACCCGCGGCCAAGCCTCTCGGGAGGGTGGTGGAGGGAAAGTGGGGAGCGGAGGGGAGCCCCTCCAGCCTTTTCCTCCTTCGCCCCAATCCGTTCCTGCCGCTCAGGCGGGGAACGGGCCCGGGAGGCCCGGACGACGGGGAGCGGAGACGCCTCGCCCCAGTTGGGGAGGCCACGGGGGACGCTTCTTCCTCGCGCTTCCACCCCGCCGCCCCCTCGCGTGCCTCCACGTCGGCGGCTCCAGCCCTGACCCCCCTTCCCCCCCCCCACATTCCTGGCAAACTCTTTTTTGGGGAACGGAGGATAAAAGCAGAGGAAGGAGACGTGGGGCTCGGAGGAGCACGCCTCTCATCTCACCCAATTTACCCCTCCCCGAGGTCTCCATCACTGAGCGGGCGCGGGGAGCGCTTAACTGGGGTGAGCCAGGGCCCGCCGCCCCCATCGCCACCCCCGACGCGACCTCGTCCCAACCCCGGACCGGCGGGGACCCAGGCACCGAGCGTCACTTGTTGCCTCGGGGCCCCTCGCTGCTGCTTATGCTGCCCCGTTCCGTGGAGCGTGCGGTTCCGCGGGAACTGGGGTCGGGGATGCAGCGCCTGCACCGCCGTTTCCCCAGCGCGCACGTCCCCCTGGACCCCCGGTCGGCCCCTTAAAGAGATTGGGGTCCCGCTCCCTGGGCATTTCTGGGTGGGCAGGAGACCGGAATGAAGGCACCCGCTGTTGGAATCACAGCCGGCAGTGGGCGTGAGACTCGGGGTGCCGGGTGAGCAGGGTTAGGACCCCAACGCCGGCCGCCCGAGGCCGGAGGGGTGTAGCGGGGCCCACCCGGCGGAGGGCTGCGCCAGAACAACTTTCCAGGGTGGGCGGTGACGGTGGAAGAGGAGGCGATGGTGGGGAGGGGGGGAATGAAGATGCCAAAGGGGGGAAGGGCTCACGGACTCTCGGGGGAGAGGGCGGCCGGGCTGAGCCCCTCGGAGAGCCAGGAGGAGGGCGCGGGGGAGCCCGGAGCCGGACAGTGCCCGGAGCCCGCAGCCCGCGACCCCCAAGCATCCAGCTCCAGGCTCCGCGGCGCCGCCAGACGTGCGGGGGCGGAGATGCGGGCGCCCCGCCCCCTCCGCGCCCGCCTGTCCCCGCCGCTCGCGGGCGCGCTCGCTCGGGCCCCGCGCTAGAGGAGGGGGGCGCTAAGTTTCCAGTTGGTTCTCGGCGACTCGCCCCCCCCCTCCCGCCTCTAGCATTCGGGGAGGATGCACGGGCCTCTGGGCACCGGAGAGGCTGCATATACACCGCACGCGCCCCGCGTGCAAGAGGCCGAGTGCGTTTCCCCGCCGCGCGGCCGTGCTCCTCGCAGGCTGCCTCTTCTACGTCGCAGGTGGGTCCCCCCCTATCCCGGACCCCCCTCTGCGTCACCCCGCTGGCCCCCCTCCCCAATGTCCCCTCTGCGTCACCCGCCGCTTCCATCCTCGCTCTAAGCCCTAAAAGTACCACCGTGTCCTGGGCCTCCGCCTTAACTGCCCACACTAATTAGGCGTCGAGGATGGAGGGGACCGCTATGAGATTGTCCTGCCCCGACGTTTGCTCTCTCGGTTGCCCCAGGAAGTTTTGCTACCTTTGGCCACGGTTGCAGGGTTGTCGGAAAGTCCGCCGCTTTTCCACGTGAACCGTCAGGTTCCCCACCATTAGTCTGATGGCAACCACTGAGAGCGGTCCGGGTCCGAGTCCGCGAAGGACATTTCTGGGGTTCCGAAGAAAAGATTTGTTCCTTGCTTGTCGGAGGCCCTTCCACGGAGACGCCTGCTTTCAAGCACGTGCATTCGGACACCCTCTCCCTGTTGAGTACCCAGCAAAAGACACCACCTGTTTTGAGTGCTTGTTTGAAAGGTCTGCTCGTCTGTGAATGGTAGCACCCGTGGATTTTAGAAAGGTAGCTATAAGGACCTTGGGACACTTGGGACCTTGGCACTGACATTATTCCTCTGAACCTTTCTGGATCCCACTGTAGCTCTAGGTCGACGTTCCTTTGCCCACCCAGCAGATTCTGTCTAGGATTCTAATCAAGGACACTGGACGCTGCCATTCACACTGAGATACTGAGATGGGCGCATGAATGTCGCTGGCATGGCGCTGCTAGTCATAGACGCCAATATCTGGGCACCCCCCAAAATAAATGCCCATCCTCTGGTGAGCGGATATACAAAACCATCCAGCGCAAGGAGCAGTATTCCGCATGAAAAAGGAAGGGACAGAATGCACCTTAAAATAAAATGCTCAAGCCGGATACAAAACCACATATTGTATGATATAATTTGTCCAGAAAAGAAGTTAGGGAGTCAGAAAACAATGGTGGTTTTTCTAGCCGAATGGGGTGTCTAGGAATTGACTGCAAAAAATGGGCCTGAAGAACATTGGCTTCATTGATCTAGATATTTGAAAGTTGGTTGATTTCACAAATCTATTCCTTTACTAAAATCCACTCAACTGTAACCAAAAAAAAAAGAAAGGTAAAAGTTCTTTTGTACTTTTCTTATGGAAGGGACACGGCATTTTTGCAACGCAGTTTCAGAGAGAGAAAAATGAAAAAGGAATTTTAGTTGTTAATGGAAAGATAACCATACTTTTTCTATTCAGCAGTTCTATTTCGGCGACTGCTTCTAAGTGTTAAAGCAAGTTAATTCCCCCCTTTCACTCTTCTAAGTGATTAATTCCTGGGAACCAGAGTTAGGCATTCCAGTTCGTGACATTTTAAACACACCTACACAGACAGAGACGTGGTACAAAGTGCACGTTGCAGAGAGAAAATTTTTTTTGACTATGTTCGGATCTGCCTTAAAAATCCATATCAACCACTTGGGTGGAGTATTGTGTGATTACAGTTTAGATTAAAAAAGGAAAAGGGGGGAGAAATGAACCCACTGACAGCTTACATGAAAAGATTCAGTTCATCCAGGCAGCCAAAAGTTTGGGTGTTTATCTTAACTTGCTTCACCTTCCCTTCACCTTGTTCTTAGAGCAGGAAGCCCAGGTTCATGGCTGCCCTGGAGTCAGGATTCCACAGCCTCTGCTTCCTGCCTGCTGCAGGCCAGACAGGGATGAGGCCCCAAATGGGCCTTTTCTTGATCCTTGTCCTTGTCAGCATGAGGCTAATAATTTCCTGTTGCTTTCTTTATCAAAGCTCCCAGGCTCTCCTCTCTTTGATGGGCCTCTCTGCAGACTGAAGACAGCCACACCCTGCTGAGTTGTTCCTTGTTCCCAGATTCCCCACATGACCATCTCCATCTCTGAAGTGATCTTTGGTGGAAAGTGAGGCAGGGTCCTAGCAGGGAAATGATTTTAGCACCACTGATGTGGGTTCCAGCCTGGCCTCCCCTGGGTTTCCTGAGAAAGAGGGAACAAAGCAGATGCCTTTTCCGAATCTGTCATTCCAGATGGGGATTCCAGATGGCTGGGTCTGAGTCCTGATCCTGCTGTTTGCCACCAACCTATAGGACTTTGGGCAAAGATTCCACCCTTCACCCCCCACCCCCACCAACATGCACACACACTCACAGGAGTTCAGTTTACTATTCTATACACAGACATTCAAAGGATTTCAGTTCACTATTCTATAAAACAGGGCTTATTACCTGTCTCTGGACTGTTGCAGGGATTAAATGTGCACTCGTCCCTAACACCAAGTCCACTGTACTTAGAGCAGAGGTTTGATAACCAAAGGTGTTAATTACTGTTATTGATTAGGAGGTCAGATTTGATCATGCTTTAAATGACCTGAGCAAAAAAAAAAAAAGGACTCATGTGACTATCATGAATTAGAATAATGGTGGTGATAAATCTAATTTTAAATGGTACTGGTAGTAAAATTCCCAGCCAAGAATATCATGGCAGTTCAAAATCTGACATTGGTAGGCCAGTTCAGGATCACGTAGGTTCATGCTCTAGGCATGCCACAAATTCATTGCATCATCCTTAGTTAACTCATTCCCTTTCTCTGAGCCTCGTTCCTCGAACTGTAAGTGAGGAATTTACTGAAGAAAAAAGTCTGGAGTAATTATGCCCCAGTCTTCATTAAAAATGAAAGCATCTCGAAAGTGCAATTCTTCTTTTCACCACTAGGTGCAATCAGACCATCATCTCACCTTAAACTCTGACTCCAGGAATCCAAATCTGAAATCTCTCTCACTAGGCATAACAGTTTCTGTCTTTCCCCTCATCTAGGCTCTGAATTCCCCAAGGACAGATCTGATACTCGACTGGTTTAAGTTTGTGTCCCTAGCACCTTGCCTTGCATATAGAAGCTCAATTACTGGACTTAATTGATAATGTTGATTAGTATTTTTTTTTATTATTATTAAACTTAAGTCAATGTATCAGTCAGTATCCCCACAGTAATACTCTGTCATTAATGAGTTCAGCCCTCTGGTTTAAATGAAGACTTTTGCACTCCCAGACATCTGCAAGTTGGCTGATTTTAAACTGGCTAGGCTGGGACAATTCAGCTCATTTTCCTGCATTTGTACCTCCTTCTGGGACTACCTTGGGCATATTCTTCTGATAATAGCAACTACAGAAGACAGCAGAGAAATGCCTGCCTTCTTGAGCTGTATGCTTAGAACTGGACATTAGCTCTTCTGTTTCTTTGTGTTCACCAAAGAGTGCCACATAGCCAGATTGAAACTTAAGGGTGGACACATTTTAGAG